GGACCTCAATGCTCCCTACAATAAATAATCAAGAGATAAGTTCATGAAATATAGAAAAAAAGGGCTATACAAAGAAGAGATGAAACAAAAGGTAGTTTTTTTTGAAAAGATAAACAAATCCTTAGCCTAATTAAGCAAAAGAGAGAAAAGATTCAAATATATATATAACACTTTTTTTAGATTTTATTTATTTTATCCTATTATATTGAGGGTTTTTTTTTTTTTTTGCCTGTGTGTATGTATGTGTACTATGTGTATGCCTAGTACCAAGGAGGTCAAAAGAGGATGTTGGGCCGGGCGGTGGTGTCGCACGCCTTTAATCCCAGCACTCGGGAGGCAGAGCCAGGCGGATCTCTGTGAGTTCGAGGCCAGCCTGGGCTACCGAGTGAGTTCCAGGAAAGGCACAAAGCTACACAGAGAAACCCTGTCTCGAAAAACCAAAAAAAAAAAAAAAAAAAAAAAAAGAGGATGTTGGATCCCCTGAAACTGGAGTTAGAGACAGTTGTAAGCCACCACATGGATACTGGGTTAAACCTGAGTCCTCTGCAAGAGCAACAAGCACTCTTAAGGGCAGAGCCAACTCTCCAGCCCCTGCAGTTTGGTTTGTTTGGTTTTTGACTAGAAAAGAGGGAACTGTCTAAAAGCACTCCCTTTCACCCTGGCTCCACAGCTAGCTTCTGTTCACACGATTTGCTGCTCATGACTAAGGATTTGCCCTTCACGATGGTTTCTGTCCAGAGTTTTCATCCCTTCCTTGCAACAAATAGAATAAGTAGCTCAGACAACATTAGCAATTAGGAACAAATATGAACTTGAATTCCTCTGTGCCGGCCATTGTTCTCCGTACTTTACAAACCAACTTGTTTCTCCCTTGTGATAGGCGTTGGAGGGCAAGATTAGTGTTTCTTATGCTTTGTCAGTAGAAATGGGGTACAGTGAAACTAGGTGACCCACCTAGAGACTCAGAGATTGATTTTGGTCCTGAAGCCAGCTCAGCTTGTTCTCTACCTGAACCACAGGCTACACAAGTCAGTCCTCTGCTAGCTTTACAGTGACCTCCTCCCCAACATTAAAGAATTGAAGGAGAAGGAGGAGGACCCTTCAGTGCCCCATGACTGCTCCATTTCCTCTGGTCTTCTAGGACCTACCATTAATTGCAAATACTATAGCTCACACTACATCAATGATCAGTTAATCCCTTAGACACTAATTAAATAAAACATCAGGGATAACTTCCCAGCCAGAGGAGAGCGAGCGTCTATGCTGTCTGCGTCTGGGGACAAAGAGCAGAGCCCTCCTGGAAAAGAGCGCAGAGGATGAGGTCAAGTTCAACCTGGGGAATAATTGTGAAATCACAGGGAAGTGTGACATGAGCTGCCTAAGTGTGATCGTTGCTGCCCAAACACCCTGGCTTCGGCAATAAGGTGTTCAGTCTGTGTAAGTGCAGAATTGGCTTCACCATATCCAAGTGTCCACAGCACAAGGTTATTGTGATTCTGTAGCCTGCCTGTGGCCAGAGGAAAGCACAGATGGCCCTGAGTCTTCCCAGCAAACCAGCAGCAAGGAAGAGTCCTTCCCACCTCCAGGCCAAGAATGAGCTATCTGCACCTGCTGAGGGCCGGGTTCAGGTAGGCATGAGGTCTCTGCAGGTTCATCAGAACAAGCAGACAGCATTCTCCTAGTACACGTCTGCATTTGCAGTGACTGCCTTCCTAAGCACCCCTTCCCAGTGCAGACCAGCTTAGGTTGCAAAGAATCCTCCTTCCCTGAGCCAGGTCCTCTGTGATGCCAGAGAACCATGGAAGGTAAGGGTCAGTCCTGGACTCCGGACAAGATGGAGTCTGTATCACAGAGAGGTTTTGTGACATCTGCTTTAGGATAAAATTACAGGTGGGGGCTAACTTGTAGAATGAAGCTTTTGCTTCACTTAGTAGAGTGATGCCAGCCGAAAACTGTAATGGTGAGTGTGTGTTTACTTCCTCATCATACTGGGAACGGCCTAATACACCAATCAGAACTCTATGAGAAAGACTGCCACTGAGCCAGGACATACCCCTGCATACACCCCCTTTGTCTTGAAAGAGCACGCATTAACATCATCTACGGAGAATGCTGCCATCCATACTTAGCGCCAAGGCTCAGCCCTGGAGTTTAATCCTAATTAAGAGGGCAGGAACTGGGGCCTTGTCTTGACTGCCCAGATGGAGGAAATTTTAAACTGAATTTTCAGATTGAAGAAAGAATTAATAAGAAATAAAATTTCGTGGCTGAGTCTGTTTGCCCATCTTAGGGGCTGCTTTCTGGAAATTCTACTTACTGCTCCGAATTGCTTTTCCCTTTCTAATGGTAGAGTAAGTCACAATTCTATCAGATTCCAAGCGAATTTCAACGGCAGTTGTTAAGGATGAGATAAGATAAATAAGTAGACAAATGATTTAATAGATGATAGAAAAATGGATGGATAGATGGATGAGTGGGTGGGTGGGTGGGTGGGTGGGTAGATAGACAGATAAAAATCAAGATCAATCAGAGGTCTGTATCACACGAAGGATGACACATGTACTAAGGGTGTATCTGCATGTCCGTATCCTTGCCCTCCAGCAGGCATAGTCCAAGCACTGTCATTGAAGGAGATGGTCCTTATCACTTGGGAAACTGGATTACTTGAAGGCATTTTGCTCTTAGAACCCAAGTCTTAGGAAGATGCCATCACTGTGTGTGGGTGCTAGGTGGGGGAGTAAAGACTGCCTGCAGAGCAAATCTGCAAGCTCTGAGGTCTAGACAGGCATTGCTACCCAGGACAGAAAGGAAGATGAGACGCTGCACACCAGCCTTGTGCAGACAGAACCAATAACGCAAGATCACGGCTGGAGGCGGGAGTGCATAGAACCTCATTAGACGTGACCTGGATGCTTTGAGTCATGGTAACCAGGGAGAAATCAGATGGGGGTTAAGAGGAAAAGGATGTATTAGCATCGGAAGCGTGGTTGATGGGTGAAGTTTCACAGTGTCAGGCAAGAGGAGAAGACACTGTCAAAATCACAACTGGAGGCACAGGTCTAGAAGAACTCTGCTCCAGTGTGACTGTGCCTGGAAATTAATGTGTTTACTCTGGGAGGGAACTTGGACCTCAGAGAACACTTGTGACCGAGCAGCATGTGTTGGTGGTATAGTGACCGGATAGCTGTGTTCCAGAAGGAAAGCCAGGAAATGTAGAGGCCTAAATGAGTAGAGAATCGAGCAAAACAAAGTTGGATAGCAGAGTAAGTGGTGGCCTGGAATTCAGCTGTTTTGCCCCCAAGGAGGCTGCCGAGGACACTATAGGGCTGTTACCCCACCACTACCACTGTGAATGCAGATGAATCTAGCCTCAGTCTCCAGTGTGAGCCTTAAAACATGGGTTTTTTAAATGTGCTGTGCCCTTTCATAGCTCCCTGTGCTAAAATGAAGTTCCAGAGCTCATTAGAGATAAATCCTGCTCTTTGAAGTTAATGCTTTTAAGGATTGTTGATAGAATTGTGCAATAATTGAATGTTTCACGAGCCTACTGAGAACATTATGGCAAAGAACGTTGGTTTTGAAACAATATACAGAGTAGAAGTAATTGGCATTCATCTATCTAAACTTTAGAGTCTGGGTTGTCTTCAAATAACAGCTGTCATGGCTGCAGCTGCAGACTGCTTTGACCCTGGGATCATGTCTTGCAGACAACAGGGAATGAAGACCATGGTCTCCAGAGTTGAGCGCTTCAACCAACACTATTAGAGAAAATAATAGGAACCCTTGAAGAATGGGGATTTTTTTTAGAGAGGATGCTGTTTAAGTGGCAAGAACTGTGTTTTAAATAGTTACAGAAACAGGGGAAACAGAAGTGGGTAGGAAGTAAAAAGGTGGCTTTTCTTCTGGTGCAGAGATGACAAATTTCTCTCTAGCACCGGAGCTCCATCATAAGCTATCACAGTTATCAGAGTTCATAAGACAGAGAGCCTTGGCCCATGCAGCACTTGCACACAGGGGGGCTTTGATCCATGGAGCAGCTTTGACTGTCATTGGAGGAATTTTTCCAGATGGTTCTGGTCCCCAGGCATGCAGAGGCTTACTGGAACCGATTCCTAACGGCCGAATTTCACTTGGTCTCCTACCTCAGTCCCATGAATCAGTGACGGCAGCTCATGTGTTCCCTGCTAGTGATGGCACCCAGAAATCAAACTGGCTGTGTGGTAGCGCTCCCTGTCCCACTTCTGATCTTTCATCAAACAATTCCAAGGGCTTTCTTCCATGCTCATGACTATGTCCTCTGGGGTCTCACTAGGCATCAGAACAAATCAGGAACTGAAGTAGCATATCTCTTGGCTACTCCAGGTGTTCGGAGAGCCTGGAACTCTGCTATTTTTACTGCCTAAGTGAGTGTTAGATCTGCCATCGAGAACAGTCATAGGACAAGGGCTTCCTTAGTCCTGAGAGCCACAACATATCCTCACAGGGACAGGTCTCAGCCACTTCTCAGAGGTGAGAAGGCTGTGATCTTATCATGAGAGTCCCTCCTTGCTTATAAAGCTCTTCCTGCTCTGTGTCATTTCTCTCTTCTACCCTACCACTATCTCCAGAAGACAAAATAAAAACGCCTCAGACAGTGGACACGTCCCTCAGTGTGTTTGTAGAGAAGTCGAACACGGTGGTGACGGTGGGAGTTGTGGTAGTCATGACCGAATTTGAATTTGTGTGGAACTTTGGCACATAAGCCCCTCTATCTTCTGCAATGTCTGCAGCTGAAGCAAGCCTCCTTCCCCACTCCCACTGTAACACGCAGGGGTGGAAGTTTAGGAAGGCAGCTGGCTTGGCGGAGGTCAGAGTCAGAGGGGTGTGAGATGTACATCCTGCTGCTCTGACTCCCCGTCCAGGGGTCTCTGCATAAAGAGGGGGCAGACAGGATACAGTCTGAGAAAGAGCAGATATGGAATGAGGAAATGATTCATTCTCTCCATTGACAGTTACTCATTCAAGCTCCCTTGACTCATCACGGCTGCCAGAAGATGCCTCATCATGAGAAGTGACAACCAGAGCTACTTCTGGGACCCCCCACAGGACTTCATTCTCCTGGGCATCTCGGACAGGCCATGGCTAGAGCTCCCACTCTTTGTAGTTCTCCTGGTGTCCTATGTTCTGGCTATGCTGGGAAACATCGCCATCATCACCGTGTCCCAGCTGGATCCCCAGCTTCACAGCCCCATGTATATTTTCCTTAGCCACCTCTCCTTCCTGGACCTCTGCTACACCACCACCACCGTCCCTCAGATGCTGGTCAACATGGGCAGTTCCCAGAAGACCATCACTTATGGTGGCTGCACCGTGCAATATGCCATTTTCCACTGGCTGGGCTGCACTGAGTGCATTGTCTTGGCCGCCATGGCTCTGGACCGCTACGTGGCCATCTGTGAGCCACTCCGGTATGCCATTATCATGCACCGCCCGCTCTGTCAGCAGCTGGTAGCGATGGCCTGGCTCAGCGGTTTTGGCAATTCCCTTGTTCAGGTCATCCTGACAGTGAAGCTGCCTTTCTGTGGGCAGCAGGTGCTGAACAACTTCTTCTGTGAGGTGCCAGCCATGATCAAGCTGTCCTGTGCCGATACCACAGTGAATGATGCCACGCTGGCTGTGCTGGTGGCCTTCTTTGTGCTGGTCCCTCTGGCCCTCATCCTTCTCTCCTATGGCTTCATTGCTCGGGCAGTGCTGAGGATCCAGTCCTCCAGGGGACGACACAAGGCCTTTGGGACCTGTTCTTCCCATTTGCTGGTGGTTTCCCTTTTCTACCTACCTGCCATCTATATGTACCTGCAGCCCCCATCCAGTTACTCTCAAGAACAGGGCAAGTTTATCTCCCTCTTCTACTCCATAATCACCCCCACCCTCAACCCTTTCATCTATACCTTGAGGAATAAGGACGTGAAGGGGGCTCTCAGAAGACTCCTGGCAAGGATTGGGAGGCTGTGTGGACGGTGAAGGTCTAACCTGGGAAGAGCTGCATAAATCGCAGAAGGCTGAGCAAGGACTCGGGAAGGTGGGGGTATACCTCAGTGGTACAGCCCTTGCCTGGCATGTGTGAGGTCCTGAGTTCAACTCCCAGGACTGTGGAAAATGCTTAGAACTGTAAGTTCTTTGAGAAATTTGAAAGCTTAAAAAAATCCATCTCAAAATACTTCACTTTCTATGTGGTGATGATGCTTAAGTTGAGCATCTAAGAGGTTGATTCTTGAAGCACAATCCTAAGAAGACATATAGCTTCAAGAATCAATTGTGTAAATGACTTGATGCTCACCAGTACGTGTTAGACTACTGGATTCCTCATTTCCTAGTTCTTTCCTTTTTTTCCCTCTTCCTATATTTCCTCTATGGTTTCCTATTTATCTCTTTTTAAGCCTTTGTCTTCCTTTGCAGTCACTCCAGACGTGCACAATATGAGCCTGACACACAGTCTTATCTATAATAAGCATCTGTTCTTCATGGACTGAAATCTTGATAGATGTATTTTTTCCCAATATGTCACAAGAACTATGTGACTGAACTCTTCTTTTGTTACCATAGATGATTTTCTTCTTCTTCCTGGGTTCAAACTGCCTTCATAGAAAGTTTTCCCACCACTGACTGAGAACTACTGTCAATCTTTCTGCTGCGGGGCTAGAAGAGTAGGATATATTGGTGAAAACAGATAGACCTAACCTCTCGCGTTACAGATGGGCATGTCCCCAGGAGAATATGGCAACAAGCATGGTCAATGCTAAAGACAATAAAGCATCACATAAAAATTTAAGAGCTTAGCTTGGAGATGCTTAGCTTAGTCATAGAGCTGGTGCCTAGCCTGGTCCTGGCTTTGCTCCCCAGAAGCACACACGAGAAATGTTGAAGGTGATTATTATAACATTTATAGAAGGTGTCTGCGACGTTGGTGATACACTGAGCGTCTTTAAGTACCAATCTGTGATACACTGAGCGTCTTTAAGTACCAATCTGTATGATATTGACCCTCATGAAATGATCTCCTTCGCAATTCCCTTTTTCCTATAAGAATCAGTTATTAAAGGTGGTAGTAATTGCTCCAGCTGTTATAGAGTTCTGGTAGCCAGGGAAACTGAGATTCTTACAAACATCCCACTGGCTGCCTATAAGTATCCTACAAGCACCTATAAGATGCTTGAAATAGAGCTATTGCAAGCACCTTATATTTTATTTGCATTTGGTTTTCTTTCTTTTTATTAAACCATTCTTGAAGATTGTATTTGATTTTAAATTATGTGTATATATGGGGAGAGGGGTATGTATGTGTGCGTGCAATTACTCACGGAGGCCAGAAGAGGGCATTAGATTCACTAGATCTGGAATTGAAGTCCTCTGCAAGGGCAGCAAGCACCCTTAGCCAGAGCCATCCCTCCAACACCTTGCGTTTGTTTTTCACATAGAAGATCCTTTTATATTTAGCTCTTTGTTTCTACCCTGATGTCTTGATGAGACACTATTAATGTAATCAAGCCTAGTAAATTAACAATAAATGGATGAAAATTAGAAAAAGAAGAAAATTATCCAACAGTAAAGGCAAAGCTTAAATGCAAGTCACAGAGCTGAAAATTTTTGATTTAAGAAATGTGAAACATAATGACTGTCCCAGATCCAGGACCACTGTTTTTTTTCCCCAATGGATTTCCATAGAGTTATCATTGCATAGCAGCTCAGAACCCTTTATATCCCAGAATAACATAGAAGAGCCTGTAAGCAATGGTACAAATCCAAGCCACAAGTCAATAAATGAGCATAGTAAGAATCATCCAAAAAGATAATCAGTGCATATATCAATATAATGACGTGACCTAATTCTAGCACACTTTTGAGTGTTGAGAATTGAGTGTTGAGATGTGCTAATTGGCAATCTCAAACTCTCTTTATTTTGTGAAGCCTAGGCTTAGTGACTTGCTTCGCCACTAGAACTCAGTGAGAGATTCTTTAGATCTTCCTGGACAAAGTTGTGAGATACCTGGCAACTTTTAGTGATTGTCTTGGGTACCCCAAGTCACCAAGATGTCCATTATCTGTAAGACTGACCGTGCTGGGGAGACTGCAGCACACATGTGAGCCAGTCCAGCAGCCAGCTCTTCAACTCCTGAATGGGGCTGGACCCTCCAGCCGGATAACCCCCAACACTGCACAGAAGAACCACCCAGCAGAACCCTGAACAAACTTCTGGGTCCTCAAAGGATGAAATATAATAAAAAGCGCCTATTCTCAAGTTCTAGCACTGGGTGTCAAGCAGCAAAGGTACTTGGAGCAATAGAGGTCCCTTAGAATATCCATTTTCATGGATGTGTAATGCCACAGGCTAAGCATAGAGGACTTCTATTTTTTTAAACATTTATTTCAATTTATTTTATGGATGTTTGTCTATGGAAGTCAAAGAGGGTGTCAGACCCTCTGAAGCTGGAGCTACACATGGTTGTGAGCCAGCATGGGGGTATTGGGAATCGAACCCAGGTCCTCTGAAAGAGCAACCAGTGCTCTTAACTACTGAGTCATCTCTCAAGTCCTCAGAACTTCTTTTATTTAGAGTTATAAAGTATTCAAGTGATTTAACTCACAAGTAAATTAAAGCGTGATTACCTAACAAACTGATATGTAATAGAAATAAAAAATGGATTTTTATAATGCATGTCAATTTTTGACAACAGGGAGATAATGTGTCACGATTCGGGTTACTATGATACAGAAAGTAAATGTGTAGATAAATAGTCAAAGCCCTAGACTGAAGCTTGGGGTACAGGTCAGAACTGGCGTTCAAGCACCATCATTACTGCTGCTACTACTACTGCACACACACACACACACACACACACACACACACACACACACACACAGGCTCCTAAACAGGCCAAGAGTTTGCACTGAATTATGTACCACATAGCTTTTCTTATTAAATTAGTCTTTCTAGGAAGCTATAGCTCAGTTGGTGGGACGCTTGCCAAGCATCCACAAAGAACTGGGTTTGAGCTCCAGCATCACATGGTGGCATGGTGGCACCCACCTGCAATACCAGCACCAGAGTGATGGAGTGAGGAGGACCGGAAGGAAGGTCAATGGAAAAACAGGCTATTTTTTAAGGGCAGTTTATCTAAAGAGAGTGTTTAGTGGCATGGTTGCTTGGCCCTTGCATGATCTCCTATATTAACAGTTCACCAACCACATTTCCATAGCAAAGGTCTGGAGGGTCCATTGGACAACATGAAACAGTATTTCCACTCTGAGCAATGCTGTGTGGTTTAAAAGTTGCTCCTGTGTGCAGAGCAATTGGTCGGTGTGTGTTCGTGATTTAGTACTCTGTGCTGCTTAGGAAGAGGAGCTGCTCTTCAAACGGGTAAACCCCGGGTGAGCTGCTGTCAGCCACGGGCAAGGGGCATTTTCTGTGTCATCCTTCTGTTTGAGAATGTCCTGGGTCACTTCTCCGTGGGATCTAACCTTCCCCCGTGCGGTGCTGACCTCTACGTTAGTACAGCTGAAACCCCCCCTCCAAAGTCTGAGTGATGGTGTTTTTTTCCTCACTAACCAAAGTTGAATCATTTTGCAAAAAAAGGTATTTTAAATGTTTAAAGTGATTTATTTTTAGTAGTTTGGACAAATAACTTAGAAGAATTCTAGATATATTTTTAAATTTAAAAAAGCAGGGCTGGAGAGAGGGCTCAGAGGTTAAGAACACTGACTGCTCTTCCAGAGGTCCTGAGTTCAATTCCCAGCAACCACATGGTGGCTCACAACCATCTGTAATGAGATCTGGCACCCTCTTCTGGCCTGCAGACATACATGCAGGCAGATCATTGTATACATAATAAATAAATAAATCTTTAAAAAAAAAAAAAAAAAAAAAGCAGTACATACATACAATAAATATAAAAATAGATTTTTATAAATCTCTGGGTTTTCAGGTAGCTAAACAAAAAGACATAACTATAAAAATAAAAACAAATGAGTAGCTAAGTGGCTACCACAAACCTGCCATTTAGCACACAGCCAGCTGCTTACACGGTACGGTCAGTTAACAGAAAAACAAAAACAATGATGTGAGCAAATGTAAAGAAAATGAGGGGGGAGAGGGAGGGAGGGAGGGGGAGATTTTAAAAAAAAACAGCATTCGAGGAGAAAAGGACAACTTATAGAAAACGTTCTATAAGTTGGTTCCATGCGGTCACCAAGAGGGAACACCTTGCCGACTGAGGACATGATGGGAACTGCATCCTCCAGCAGTTTCACATTCTCGATGTCTTCCCTGGGGAAAACATGCTTGGCTCCCCACATGAGCCTTTGCTCCAGACCCTGCACTGGAACAACTCTGGCTGTGGTCCTGATGGTGGAGGAGGAGGGTTTATAACCGTGAAGGATGGGATGCTCTGGGGCACAGAGCAGGCCTCGGCATCTGGCAGTCCTGTTTCCACGCCTACCAAGAAGGCTCAAAGACAATTGTCAGCTCAGGCTTTTCTTCTTGGAGCGCCTCTAAGGCATGTTTTGTTTCATAATTAAAATACATTTCACACAACCTGTAAAAACAGAAAGAAAGCTTTGGGTTAGACTCGTCAGAAAGCTGGGAACTGGGCCTTTAAAACGTCAGCTCATCTGGTGTGGTGGTGTAGACCTATAATGGGAGCACTTGGGAGGCAACAGCAGGAAGAGTACCACAGTTCAAGGGTAGCCTGGGCTACTTAGTGAATTTGAGGCCAGGATCATCTTGTCCCTTCCCAGATTCAACAGTTAAAGCAGCTCATGGCCGACCATGCTTCGTCTATTGGCGGCCTCCCACATCTACTTGAATGGAAGCCTTGACTCCATGTATTTATAGTTATTTCACTGTGTAATATTTAATAAGATAACTGCAATGTCCTCTCATACCTTACTATCAATGTCCAGTGTGTGTTTAAATTTCCTCAATTGTCTTGGAAATATTTTACAATATGTCTATCTAATTGAGATCTCCTACAAATCTACACATTGCAATTTCTTGGTATGCCTCTCAATAGTCTGCACATATTTTTTTTTATTCAGAATCTTGTTATGTAGTGAGGCTGTTCCTAAAATTAGAAATCCTCCTACCTCCACTTCCTGAGTGCTAGGATTATTGGTGTGAGCCACCACAGCCAGCTCAAGTACTGAATTCACCCTCTTTATTAACGTTTCCTTGAAAGCTAACTAAGGAAATGGACCACTGGTCCTACATCTTTTCCAACAGCGTCTGGTTGAGCTGTGAACTGTATGTTTGCACACCTTCAAAATGCGCATGTGTTGGGAGTCCTATCCTGAAATGTGGTGATAGGTAAGGTGTTCAGGTGGTGACTGGGGTCAGGTGAAAGTGTAAGAACAGAGTCCTTGTGAAGGGATTAGAACCCTTACATCAGGGAACAAGTTCTCTCCTTGTCTCACCTGGAGTGTGAGCACATGGTGAAACAGCCCTCTGCGAGAGGAAAGGAGCCCCTTTCCAGCAACTAAATAAGCCGAGCCTCGTTTTAGACATTCTGGCTTCTAGAGCTGTGGTTAAATAAACTCCTGCTGTTTAAGTCACCTAATCGATAGTGTTTTGTTTCCGCTAACTAATACAAGCTGGCTACATCCAAGAATTCCCAGGCTATTTTGAGCCTGAGCCCCCAGCTCAGTCATGACAATCGCTCTGGGCTGGATCAGTATCCCCAGCTTTGCTCTTCCCAGTGACTTCCGGTCCCATTCATACTAAGAGTTACAAGCTCCTGGAGGCATCCGGGACCCCTTGTCATACGGCTCTGTCTGTCTATGAATCATCTTTTCTTGGTCCTTGTTCATTCTGCTCTAGGCTTTCCAGATTTCAA